TGCTGCGGAGGAAACGCAGAGGCTCAGCCAGGGCCTGGCTGGAGCGTTGCACCAGGCCTGAGGCAGCCTGCAGGTGGCGACACCACCCAGAACTGTGGCCCAAACGAACCCCACCGGGCCGCCAAGAACCTCTGTGGATCACAATCACCTTCCGGTCACCAGGCCCGTAACCAGAAGGCCCCTTCCTAGCTTCTACGGGCAGTTTTGTCTTTTTAGAGTCAGGGTCTCACTCTGTCTCCCAGTCTAGAGCACAGTGGTGTGATCACAGCTCACTGCGGCCTCAACCTCTCAGGCTCAGGCGATCCTTCTGCCTCAGTCTCCCTAGTAGCTGGGACTATAGGCGTGTGCCACCAGGCCTGGCTCGTTTTTTAATTTTTATTTTGTGTAGAGGTGGGGGGAGTCTCGCTATGTTGTCCAGGCTGGTCTCAAACTCCTGGCCTCAAGCGATCCTCCCACCTTGGCCTCCCAAAGGGCTGAGATTCCAGGCATGAGCCCCCGCGCCCGGCCCACAGGTAGCTCTTGACGGAAGAGGATGGAGCGCGGTCAAGTTCTGATACTCAACCAAGCTGTCAGTGGGGAGGAGACAAGAGCGGAGCCTGACGGCAGGGAGGGCGGGGGTGAGCTCTGCCAGGGGCCGTGGCGCCCACCCACACCGTACCTCAGCTCTGTCTTGATCTCTTCGTAGTCTGACTGCGCCTGGAGTTTCTCTTCCAGCTTCTAGAAGGGCAGAGAAAGCTGGTGAGGCTGGCGTCCACGTGGAGGCCCGTTCCCGCCCGGGCTCATGCAGACCCACCTCTATGGCCTCGGCCTTGGCCGTGAGCTGGCGCTCCAGGCCGGCGATCTGGCTGGCGGAGCTCTCCTCCAGCTCCTGCAGCGAGCTCTGCAGATACTGAACGTCTTTCAGCAGCCGCAGGATCTCCCTGTCCTTGGAGGCCAGCGCCGCCTCCAGCCGGGGCCCTGAGCACAGCGTGAAGTTCACCTTGTCCTGAGGGCGAAGGGGCCTTGAGGGGCGGGAAGGGCTGGCCCCCTGCCCCTGAACCCCTGCGGCACAGGAGTCCTTCGGTCCGGTGACAGACGCATGTGCTGGGCGCCTCTGCCACACAGGCGTCCCCCTACGTGTGTCACACTCTCTTTCTGTGCGTATTTAAAGGAGCTGCAGCCACAGGGCGTGGTGAGCCCAAGGGGGTGGCCACTGGGCTTCACAGCAGAGGAACTGGCATGGACTAGAGCTCAGGTTTCTAAGTCAGGTCCGGCTCCTGCCCCGGGGAGGTCCCTGTTTGGGGCTGCAAGGGACCCTCACAGACAGACTTGAGACCTTGCAGCCAGAGGCTCCGTGTCGGCAGCCCCTGTCTCCTGATTTGCTGACAGCCCCTCCGGGTTTCAGGACATGCCCCTTTGTCCTGGACGAGACGGACGGGCCACTGTTGAAGACGACCCGAAGTCAGGCTGGTCTCAGCCTCCGTTCTGGGGAAATCTCGGAGACATCAGCCATAAAAAACAACCACCACGATCAAGCCCGGCCTCCTTCCATGGAGATAAATGCCAATTAACACAGGAAGCGGATGCCATTAATACATTAAATTAATTAGTATCGAGCGCCACTGTTGTGCTCAGAAAAACACACCCCCAAACCAGCGGTGCGCCCCACGGCTGATTAGCACTGGCACTCGCTGGGTTCCACGGGGGTTAATTAAGGACCATCGGCAAGTTGCTCTCCAAGGCGTCCTCAGGGCTCTCTTGCGCTCTTCCCTCATGTTCCTGCTCTCCTGTGCCTACTCTGTGTTGTGTGGTCACCCAGGCATGTGGACACACACACACTCACACACACACACACACGATGTCCTGGGACACAGACACAGGCTGACACCCAGAGGCGCACTCACAGCACACGTAGATGCACACGTAGATGCAGGCGTCTTCTGAATACTCACGCTGACACGCACATACGCAGGAATACACAGGACACACATGGACACGTGCGGGCTCAAGGAGTCCACGTGCTCTCATGGGCAAAAACACCCCAGACACACCAGAACCACACTAATAATAACGATGATGCTGAAAGTAATAATAATAGCAGCCTCAAGTATTCACTGCACATACATGATGACCCAAGCATCACTCCGAGGATTTTACGACCTTTCCAATACTACATAAGGCAGGGGACTACTTATACAGATAAGGAAACTGAGGCACAGGCAGCTTCAGCTTGCCCAGAGGTCCCAAGTAGACGTATGCAGCGACACGTGTTCCTGGGGCACTTCCCAAGTCCGAACAGAAAGACACGGAGAGTGGGGCCTGAGTGTGGCCGGCAAAGTGGAAGTCGTGCGGCCACTTCAGGTTCTGGTCTACAGGCCGCCCTGGAGCAGACCTGCTGTTATGTCAGGAATCACAACTCTAATCCCTTGGCGTGGGTGATCTGGAAGGAAGGTGGGCCGATTCACGCAAGGAGCCCAAGGCTTTCTGGGAAAGCAGGGATGGAGGTGGAATGGAGGCGGCTCACACACAACAGAGGGGTCTTGGGCGGGCCCTGGTTAAAATCCCTCAGCAGGAAATGACACCAGGCCTCCACGGAGCACCGAGGAGGAGGAAAGAGAGGGAGGGATGGATGAACCAGGCTTAAGCAGGAGCCTGGCGGGGCGGACTGAAGACCGGTTCTTCCCAGCACGTGGCCGAGCGGAGGCAGGCTGGCAGCCGCCCGCGCTAATCCCGGCCGGGATGGTGTGAGTGTCACCGGCCGCCTCCACCAAGCTGCGCGAGACCAGTGTCCCACAGCGACACCGGGTGGCAGCGCCAGAACTGCAGGGTCGCTGAGTTGCTCAAGCATACTCCTCCCGGGATGAACCAGGTTCTGGGTGGGCACCGGCACGTGGCTTCCCCTTCTCTCTGAGTCTCAGTTTCCCTTTTGTGAAATGGGGCAATGAAATCATCTTCGGCAGAGGGGTTTTGAGTGCCTCCTGTTGGGGCATCTGGGGAAAACGCGGGTCCTCCTTGGCCGGAGGAAACTGGGGGTGGGGTGTCCTTGGACAATTGCGGGTGGGGGAATCCTTGGGGGTGACGGCGGCTTCTGAAGGAAGATACTGCATATCCTCTTAATCAAGGGCATGTGAGACTTGAGCTGAAACGCTCAAAGGACTGTGGCCGCTTTCACCATCAGCCGGTAAAGCAAGCCACGGCAATGTCATCTACATGCTGACCTTGGCAGCGAAGACGCCACACCCACACACTCACAGAGGCCCGCACGGTCACACTCCCGAGTTACCCACGGTCCCCACAAAGTGCCACCCACCCGTCCCTACCTACTAAGGCCGCCTTCCCTGGCCTCTCCCTCCCCGCCTCCCTCCCGACCCGTCCTTACCCCACTGGGCCCCTGTGAGGTGCAGCAGGCCAGGCGGATGGAGCTGTTGACGGAAGCCAGCTGTTCCCGAAGGCTCTCCACCTCCCGCTGGGCAGCCTCGGCTCGCTGCAGGGAGAAGGGGCCGGTGTCGGTGAGCGCCACCATGCCAGAGGCCGGCCGCACCTCCCATGGCCCTGCACCATCTCAGGCAGGGGCTGGGGGGCGAGTCTCCAAGGCCTGGGGTCCTACTGTCCCAGACCTATGAAGACCAGTCACAGAACTCTGGGCTGGGGACAAGAAAAAGTCCCTGTGTGTCTTTTTCCTCTCCTTTATTTTCATTTTTTTGGTGGCATCAGGGTCTTGCTTTGTGGCCCAGGCTGGAGCGCAGTGGTGCAATCACAGCTCACTGAAGCCTTGAACTCCTGGGCTCCAGGGATCCTCCAGCCTCAGCCTCCCGAGTAGCTGGGACGACAGGCACATGCCACCATGCCTGGCTAATTTTTTTATTTTTTGCTATGTTGCCTAGGCTGGTCTCAAACTCCTGGCCTCGGGCGATCCTCCGCCTCAGCCTCCCAAAGTGGGGATGACAGGTATGAATCACTGTGCCTGGCCCTCTGTGCTTCTTTCTGGTCTGAGAGGACAGAACGAAACACTCCTTTGAGGAGGTTCTGGGGTCCCTTGGGACTCCCAGAGGGGTCAGAACATTCCCACCCCACAAGGGAGCAGGGAGAAGCTGTCTTGGTGGGAAGGGTGAGTTTCCACACTTTTCTCTGACACGTGGCCTGGCTTGTCAGAAGGCAAGGGCCCGCCTGGTTCTCTTGCCTCCCGGGATGAACCAGGTTCTGGGTGGGCACCTGCACGTGGCTTCCCCTTCTCCTCCCTGGGTCTCAGTTTCCCCTTTGTGAAATGGGGCAATGAAATTATCTTCGGCAGAGGGGTTTTGAGTGCTTACAATCAGAATGTGGCAGCTCACTAAACTGGGTCCATGGCCCATCTCAACTCTTCAACAATTTCCATGGAAAGTTCGAGACAGGGCCTCGTTCTATCGCCTAGGCTGGAGTGCAGTGACATGATCACAACTCACTGCAGCCTCCAACTCCTGGGCTCAAGCGATCCTTCCACCTCAGCCTCCCAAATAGCTGGGATTACAGGCACACGCCACCACGCCCAGCTTGGAAGCATGCCAGTATTATAATACATTTAGGCTTGTAGCTTTGGAGAGAAATCTGGGCTCAGATCCTTACATTGCCGCTTCCTGGTTATATGACCTTGGGCAAGAGACTTCATTGCCCCAGCCTCAGTTTCCCTATTTGTCAAATGGGGAGTTTACAAGCAACTGTCTCATAGGGTTGTACTGCAGATTGAGTGGTCTGGCCAAATGCGATTTGTCAGATATCGTAGCTTGGTGCCTGACCTGTATATTGTGCCAATAATCAGTTTTCCCAGCATCATCGGGGCATATTTCTTGAGCCATTACTTGGACCATTAAAAGGACTGTGGCTATATTTTTGCCCTCAGCTGGTGAAGCCGGTCACAGTGATGTTTAATGACATGTTGGCCTTGGCAACCAAGATGCTCCAAGACCCCCCCCACGCTTGTGTTCATATTTTAATGTATTTCATTTGTTTATTGCTTATGATTCCTGTATTGGTATCCTGCCTTGTTTGGGAAAGGGTTCAAGTCAGTTTTGTTTTGGGAAGGGTTTGGGGCATGCGGGGCCAGAAAGAGTGTTTTTCTGTTTCTGCACGGCTCAGGCTTTCTGAGCAAATTTGACAGGAACTTGGGTCTGGGCTGAAGGACAAGCCAAACATTTGGCTCACGACTGGCTGGTGAGAGCCCCAGACAGGCCCTGTCCCCCGAGGGGTGTGCTGAGATGCCAAGGGCGGGTAACACCACACCACGGAACCAGCCCCTGGGTCCAAGCCTGGGTTTAAAGGCCGCGAGTCCTACCTTTCCAGGAGAGACGTATTTACACTCCAAAGGCTGAGACCCTGGGTCCTGCCCTCTGTCTGCCACAACACCTGGGACAGATTCTTTCTCTCCCTTTCTCAGAAAGCCCCTCTCCTATCTCCAGATTCATACCTGGGGGGTCCTCATCTACAGTACAAACTCTGCCACATATAGGATGACATCTGGGTCTCATTTTGTCACCCAGGGGTAAGAACTGAGGCACGCTGGCCTGATGATTATCATGTATGCAATAATATGAATTAGGCCGGGCACAGTGGCTCACACCTGTAATCCCGGCCCTTTGGGAGGCTGAGGTGAGAGAACTGCTTGAGTTCAAGAGTTCAAGACCAGCCTGGGCAATATAGCGAGACCTCATCTCTACAAAAAAATGAAAAAATTAGCCGGGCATGGTGGCGCATGTCTATAGTTCCAGCTATTCGGAGGGTGAAGGAGGAGGATTGCCTGAGCCTAGAAGGTCGAGGCTGCTCAAGTGATTGTGCCACTGCACTCTAGCCTGGGCAACAGAGTGAGACCCCAAGTTAAAAAA